TTGTTTTCCATTGTCACATACTATTTCGGCGGGTATCCCGAATCGGCATACGATATGATCCCAAATAAAATCTATAACTTCTTTCTCTCTTATTTTCTCAAACGCCTGCACTTCAACCCATTTAGAAAAATAGTCTGTCATAAATAAAATGAATTTGGCTTTACCTGGGGTCGATGGTAGAGGGCCGACGATATCCATTCCCTATTTCATGAACGGCCATGGGGATAGGACTGAGTGAAGTTGCTCTCCGGGTTGATGGATCATTGGCGGAAACCTTTGACATTTGTCACATTTACAAACAAATTCCTTCGCATCTTTGCCCATATCTGGCAAAACAATCAATGTTATCGATAAGAAATTGAACAAGTTTCTTCCTGAGTTCGGGGCTCAACCCCGTTCCCAAGTATACCTTTCGCTCAGGCCAGTGCTCGATTAGTGTGATTTGCTCTAGTTCTTCAATTACTGATTTGTTGGCGTCGGAGTCATCGGGAATCATGAAAGATCGAGGGACCCTTTGACCATCATCTTCTTCGATCTTCTGGTTATCTAGCTGGGTCGAAGCCGACATCTGTGATTGCTATTTGGTGTCCCATTCTCCTTCTGAGCCTGATCCCTTAATCGACGAAGGCGAGGATATTGATTTCGCTTCCTCGACGGCGAACATTTTTTTTGCGGCCAGTTGTTCTCCGTACACTATTTTGACACCTCTCGATGTTGGGAATTTGAGGATCTGGTGTAGGGTTGAAGGTACAACTCTCATGTTATGGATCCATGGCCTTCCGAAAAGGGAATTGTACCTCATGTCGCCTTCGATCACGTGAAATTTTGTTTCCTGGATGGTTCCGGCCACGTTTATTGGTAGGATTATCTCGCCTTTGGTGGTTTCACATACCATATTGAATCTATTTAGAACTAGAGTTTCGGGTACGATCTGGTCCTGCAGGCCGAGCTGTTCTACGACCTTCAATCTGATGATGTTGGCCGAGCTACGTGAATCGATTAACACACGCTTAATTTTAATTTTATTCATGAGTACTGATATTACTAATGTATCGTTATGAGGTTGGATGACTCATTCTGCATCTTCATCATCGAAGGACAAAGTCTCTATGGGTGCATAATCTTGAGTCTGAGATCGCTTTTTCCTCACAATTGTTGTTTTAGTGTGTTTAAGCATTGGTCCCTGAGGGGTATCGGCGCCGTCGATAATTATGTGAATGACGTGCTGCGGTTCTTCTTGCGCATTTTGCTTGCCGAAATCCCTTTTTTTAAAAAGGTTCTTCGCCATATCACTCAGAAATTCTCGAAGGTGCCCTTTGTTAAATAAGCGGTCTACTTCCTCTCTTAGTTGCCTGCAATCTTCCGTTCTGTGACCATGGGTGCCATGATATTCTCACATTTGATTGGGATTCCTTTGGGCAGGATCAGTCTGCATGGGTCGAGGCCACTTGGTGTCTTTGATGCGTCCGATAGCCGACACGATGTCGGATGCACCAACACTAAAGTTATACTCTGATAATCGAGGTGCTTCTATAAGATCGACATATTTATCAAAGCCGCTCTTGCTCATAAGTCCCCGAGAATTTTTCCCTCGATCAATCCTTTGATTGTTCTAAACTGTATTGCATGTTGAACCGTTGTTCATCCGATCTGCGACGTACGGTTGATATCGGTCTCTGTTCGACCATTGTTCTCTATCGATCTCCTTTTGGTTTTTAGCAGCTGTCCTGTTCTGATGCACGGGTCCATACGGAGCTCCCAACTGGTCATCTTCGACCCTAATTTTTAATTGATATCGGTTGTGTATATCTGCCCAAGTTATTGCTGGATACTCGATCAAATTTTGCTTCAGCCGACGTGATGCTATCAAACTTAGCTCGTTCAACCCTTGGGTGAAAGCTTGTACGGCCCAATCGTCTATGACCGGTCGCAATTCCATGCGTTCCATTTGAAATCGGGATACGAATTCCCTCAGCATTTCATTACCCCTTTGCTTTACTTTGAAGAGGTCTGATTTCCTTGTTGCAACCTTTATGGCACCAGCATATGCCTTTACGAACGAATCTGCTAACATGGCAAAAGAATCGATGGAATTTGGGAGTAAATTGTGATACCAGATCATTGCTCCCTTCGAGAGGGTCTCCCCGAACTTTTTCAACAACACGGATTCGATCTCATCATCCCCAAATCGTTACCTTTGATGGCACATGTGTAAGAGGTGACGTGTTCGTTAGGATCGGTCGTACCGTTATATTTGGAAATTTTGGGCATACGGAATTTTTTGGGGATTGGTTTTGGGGCCGTACTTGAGGGAAAAGGCTTTTGTATGAATTTTTTCGAATCAAGCCCTTTTATCATTGGTGTAGCCCCCGGGATTTGATCGACCCTGGCATTGTACGTTTCCACTCTCTTGTCATTGTCTTCGACTCATTTTGTGAGTTCCTCGAGCAATTTAGTAATTTCGGGAGTGGTCCTCGATTCTTGCTCGTTTGATTTCACTATGGCGGGCTCCGTTCTGGGGGTGATTTCTCGAAGCGGATTGGGATCCGGCCTGCTTTATATATGAGTTTGGCTCTGTAACTGGTCTATCGCTACTTGTTGGGCTTGTAGCATCTCGAAGATCATATGTAAGCTGGCTCCAATTTCCCCCGCGTTATGGGTATCTCGGGCTACGGATCGAGTATAGCCCTGAATGCTTTTTTCCGGTTCGGAACGCTGATTCGCCTCCAGAGCTATTTGTGAATTGACATGTAATGGTACTTCGGCTCGAATTTCGGGTACTTCGATTCGAGCCTCAGTGCCGTCATCAAGTGGCCTTCCGCCCCCGGGTGCCAAGTTGTTGGTTTCATCTTGAAGGCCGGCTTCATGGTCAATAGGTAAAGCCATTACTGATTTGAAGTTGTAAACTGGTGTGTACTGCAGATTTATGTCAAACAATTACTGTTATCCTTAGCCCCACGGTGGGCGCCAAACTGTTTACCCGAAAAATCGGATAACGTTAAATTTATGTATGGTTCTAAGGATACGTGATACCCTTTGATACAAATCGTATAGAGAGATAGCAATATGAATATTCTTGACTATGAAAATGGAAATAATGATTAGAAAGAATGAATAAAATGAAGTAAAACAAGCACAAGGAGATATCTTTTCTTCCAGTCTATTCAGTATGTCCATAGCTTACAAGGATCCCCTTTTATAGTAGAGGGTCTTTACTTTATTTATAAAAAAAAATAATAAAATAAAGTATATAGTGGAGGACCCATGATGATTTGTCTCTTCCTCGATTTCCGCCAAGATTCTCTCTTGGTGCGGTTGCAACAGTTCTTGTCTGTGAGCTCGATACTGGCTCAAACTCGTTACTGGGTCGAGCCCTTCGGTCTTGACTCGAGTTCGACCTTCGGGATGGGCGTCGCGCATTTCCGACCTCGAAGCAATGCCTTGCGAATCGATTTGGTCACGGGCTCGATAAGGTTATTGAGCCGACTCCTCGAGCAGCCTTCGGACTCGAGGCTCGTTAGTACTGTCTTCGGAGCTCACTCCCAAAATCCTACTCCAATTTCTTACCACTTGAACTCGATTGAACGTAAGAAGGTCGAAATCTATTTCGACCATATACAATTTCACACTAGTGGAAAAACATATGTAGCCCACGAATGTTTTAGATCGTAGCTACATTAATCAGGTTGCATTTACTACTAGATTGAATCTGCTTACTTAAAGAATGAGCTTACAAGTAAGTTTCTTTGAAAAATAAAATACAGTCACATTAATTAATGTTATAGCTGAATCATTTGGAATATTTGGGAATGTGGAGAAGTTAACTGCGTATGCCATTGCACGGAGGAGTGAGAGATTTGTTGCTACTCCCTCCGTTAGTAAGTGATTTTTTTTTGAGTATTTTTACGTAGATTAATAAATTCATCTTTTAATATTAATTAGCAATGAAATTGATCATATTAATCTTTACTATCTCTTTACATAAACACCCCTAACACATACTCCAATATTATTTACTCCAAGGGCAATGTAGAAAAAAAATAATTAATTCATTCTTAAAATCTAAAAAAATCACTTATTTTTTATCACAAAAAAACTAAAAAATCATTTATTGTGGACCAGAGTGAGTATCAATCTTCATATGCACATTAAAATGGAGAATCTTTTTTTTTCCTGAGAGTTTGTGTCAGTATTTATTATTCTTTCTTTCAAGAGTTGAGCAAATGCATTGTCAAATCTAACACTTGTATGGATTAATATTTGTTACGTCAGGCGGATGTGTAGGTTTTAAGATATGAGTTCGGAGGAATTCAGTAATTTTAACCTGAATTATATATATATATATATTCAAATCGTAAATCCACCTTGGTATGTTGTTAGTGCTAAAAGTGAATGAACAAACATATAATTCACGGGACAAGAGGGTTGCTAAGATGGTCAACACTCTCAGGTGAATAGTTCCAACAAAGGGGAATCAAAAGATAGGGAAATTACAAAATATATATATATATATATATAATTCACAGTAGAGGAATCTCTAGGCGGTGTATATTCTATTTATTTCAATGAAAAGATACACATTAATTTAATTCGAGAGATACGAAGTAAATTCTATTTTACGCAAAACTCAGATACTTGGGACCAGTTCTGCTTTTTCTTATTTGTTTCGAGGGAAATAATTTCGTTCTCAACGATGTATTTTGTCGTTTAAGATAATTACTTCCAAACACTTCGCCGACGTGTTATGCAGTTTTGTTCCCTATAAATGAGTCCTTTTATCCCCTGTAAGAAAACGTACAGAAAAAAGTAACAATCTGAAGTTTATTTTCCCAGGTTCGTCCTCTTTTTTTTCTCCTACGATCAGGCAAGGGATTGACATTTAACAAATTAGTAAATGTTTCTTTTCATTAAAGTCTTTAGTTATCATAAAACTTAGTTTGTTAGAAGGGGTATGATTCACCTATGAAATATATTGTTGCTTATTTTCTTATGTTTAGTAATTTTTATAGAAGATGTGTCCTCTATTAAGATGATACTTTTGGTTATGTTGTTGCTAGAATGGAGGGGATGTGATTCCACTATATATTTAAAATAAAGTTGCATTCCCTTTTCTATATCATAGGAATATGATTCCCTGTAAATGGAAAATTACTTGTGAAATTATGATACTTCGCTTCTAATACGAAAATTAAACCGAAAAAAATAAAGTGATCTCATTCTAATCGGGCTATCGTTTGTACCTATGTAGAATCTATGCTCAATGCTATAGTGGTGCACCGGGCGTCTTCAAATCCTAGGTCCGGTTTTGCTCCTGAGTTTTTCTATTCTTGGGTGGCTGTATATACCAGCTCTTTAAAACTTTATATATTCAGGTTTCCTTTTTGTTTTGGTTAGATTCATTCACAAAAAAAGGAGAACATGGCGGACCTCATCTCTAGCTGGTCTAATAAAGGCGAAACACTTCCTCAAAGTTATGTCTTACCAATGCATGAAAGGCCAGTTGATCCAGTTCCAATTGTTAAGGAAATTCCAGTCATTGATTTGGGAAAAGCTAAGGGCGAAGAACGAACTGTTGTCGTTCAACAACTTCTGAAAGCTTGTGAAGAATATGGTTTTTTCCAGGTTGATCCATTGTTTGTGCAGTACTAAGACAGGAAATATAACTACATTACATTTGCGATCATACTCTTCTTTTAAAGATTATCCAAATTTTAATAAGAGGCCTTATAATTTCTCAGCTGAATTGATAGCATGCATGCTGAAACAGGTAAACAATCATGGAATACCAGAAGATTTAATGGACGAGGCGATGAAAGTGTACCAGGAATTCTTCAGTTTGCCTGTGGAAGAGAAAGCGAATTACGCAAAAGCTGCAGCAAATGCAGCAAGAGGTGCAGCAACACTATATAGTAGTAGTGCCAGGCATTATGAAACAGAAGAGCATAAATACTGGAGGGATGTTCTCGAGCACACCTGCAACATTGACGGGGAAGATAAAAGCATTTGGCCTGATAAACCTCCAAGATATAGGTACCTAATTCTGTTCCTCAATTTTTTCTTTTGATTTCACCTTATGTATTATATCTTGGTAATTATTAGTAAGTTTTAAATCCGGAAGAAATTATTGGGGATTATATATTTTTATTTAGCAACTTATCGATGGATTTTATGTAATTTACAACCAATAGTGTCAAGAGAAATGTTTCAAGACATGATTGAAATAATCCGGCTTTCAAGACATTTTTCTGGTCAGCAAAAAATAACTTTATCGGTTGTAAATAGCTTCTCTATCTTCACAAGAGTAGGGGTAAGGTCTACGTAGACACTACCCTTCTCATAACCCACTATGTGAGATTACATTGGATATGTTGTTGCTGGCCAAAAATAATCACAGCCGCTAGTCAAATATACAAAAATATACACTAATTATGTATAACATATATGTATATTATCCATTAATATACAAAAAAAATATATTTTTGGTCTATTATTTTGGGGACAACTATACTATGTAAAAACTACTCGAAGTATAAAAGGACATTTCTTCAGGTTGTTTTCTTCCCCTGTATTTTCATGTCAAGGTAAAATATGAGAATGAAATTTCAGGGAGGTTATTGGTTCATATTCTGTTGAAGTAAGAAAGCTGAGCAAGATTATCTTGGGACTGGTAAGTGAAGGATTAGGGTTGGAGGCAGGGTATTTTGACAAAGATCTTGGGCAGAGAATGCTTGCCAATCTTTACCCAGAGTGCCCAGATCCAAGTTTAACATTGGGAGTTGGTGGACATTGTGATCCTAATCTCATAACCATTATCCAACAAGACGCATATGGCCTTCAAATATTAAAGGATGAGAAATGGATTGGCATAGAACCTCTACCCCATGCACTTGTTGTCAATTCTGGTTTAGCTATGACGGTAAAGTTCCTTAACATTACTTGTTAATTTCGGATAGTTGAATTATCATTTTAATTTGAGTAATGAACTCGTCGTATAAATGCAGGTGATTAGCAACGGGAAGCTAGGAAGTGTAGCACATAGAGTGGTGACCAATACAACTCAAGCACGGACATCTATTTGTACTTTCATTTGTCCAGAAGAGGTCGTTGAGCCTGCAAAATCACTTGTTAATCCGTGCAATCCACCATTGTACAAATCCTTCAAATGGCGTACTGAATTTATGCCCCATTACCTCAGCAAGAAATCAGTGTATTACGCAGCGTTGGAGCCTTTTAAGATCGATGCTGAAGCATTGTATGTGTGACGGATCAGTGTTGCTGCTACCACTTATTCTGTTTTCTCAAATAAGAGGATGTGAGTTTAGAAGTCATATATAGAAGCAATGTGAACCACTCTAATGAATGGGTATTAGTTATTCCATTTGGTGCTTCTTCAATGTACTTTGTTAACGTTTGCCTTGAAATTTTTCGTTTTCTGTTTCTATCTATTACGAATACTATCTCCTGTCCATAAATAATGGTTCAATCTTGATGAGTACTGTTAGAATTTTTCTTTTACGTGTGGCTAAATAAAGTTAGCTTGTCATTAATATTTAACTAGAGAGCATATCTTATCCGTTCAACTGGTTACTTGGTGGACGAATCAGATTAAGACTCAATTTCTATAATTAAATTCGTCCTGCCTCCGCCCATTAGGGTTACCCCCAACACTTGTGTTTGACCTCATTAGCTCCATGCAATAATTAAAATTAACAGTTTTACTGGTTTCATTATACACATATATTTAACTTCAGGCTAGAATTATTCAATTAAGTGGGCGTTTGGACATAAGAATTATAAAATTCCGGAAAAAAGTAATTTTTTTTCAAGTGAAAATGGTATTTGAAAACTAAAGTTGTGTTTGGACATGAATATAATTTTGGGTTGTTTTTGAAGTTTTGTGAGTGATCTGAATGAAAATTTTGAAAAATAATTTTTTTGAAGTTTTTCAAATTTTCAAAAAATTTTAAAATCTATTTTCAAGTAAAAATTTAAAAGTTTATGCTCAAACACTGATTACGAAAAAAAGTAAAAACAATTCGAAAAAAATAAAAATTTTCTCATGTCCAAACTGGCTCTAAGTTTGCCTTAATTTTTAGGCGACGGGTCTTTATTTGTAAAACTTGGAATGCCTAAAACTTTAACAATTGCACAGTTCCCACGTTATGAGAATAAATAATATTATTTAATAATTGAAAGTGGAATTATACAACGACTGGAAGCGCATGTAGCACACCATAACGTAGTTGTTTGGTTATTTATACATAATAATCTTTTAGGGTGATACTTATTTCAATCCAAAATATTTTAGCGGGTAATAGAAAGATTGAATAAGTTGGCTATATTATCAATCGAGTAAGAATTATTAGAGAAAATCGATTATAAAAAATATTATTAACAACTTACTTCAAATAATTAAAAAAAAAAACTTTATAACTTTTTTTTAAAAATTTAGACCTCATATTAAATTTTGGCTTTAGGCCTCGTATATGTTTGAGCGGCCCCTAAGTACATAACAACAAATTCAAGACAAATCTAGGGGTTCTTATGCATTTCCCTCAAATGGCTAGTTTATGCATCTCGTTGGTCTGACTTGCACACTTAGCTAATCGGAAATTAGAAAGAGTTTCCGTTAATGTAAAATCAATAGGACCATTTAAAAAGGAATTAGAGGTAATTTATACTCCCNTAGTTATTTTTTGGTAAGTCTTAGTGACGATATTAATGGTCTATTCAAGATAACAAGATTCAAAAGATATTTTTGATATGTTATACATATATAATGTTAGTTTAATATCAAAAGATTAAAAAGTCTTCTTTATATTACACTCTGTTTAGATTATTGTTATCCATCGTTTTATAATGTATTGTATTATATTTATTGTATCGTTTTATGGATACAATTGTGTGGACATATTATACCACTACTAGAAATCCGCTAAATACCGACCAAAAAAACTGACCGAAGTTGGTCGGTTATGGCCAATTACCGACCAAAACGCGACCATTTATGTGTGGACAGTATTTTAACGGTCGGAAAGGCATACCGACCAAAGTTGGTCAAAAATTACTGACCAATGTTGGTCGGTCAATTAGATTCAAAAAAAGAAATATTGGAAAAAAACCGACCAAAGTTGGTCGGTTTTTTAATTATGTAATTAAAAGATTCACCATCTGGGAATCGAACCGTGGTCTGTACTATGGTAGGATACTATTCTACCACTAGACCATTGGTGCATTTTGTTTTAAGATTGTCTTTTATTTGATTTATACTCTTTAATTATATTTTCGCACGAAAATAACTAACCAAAGTTGGTTGATTGTATTAAAAAATAAAATTACCGACTAAAGTTGGTCGATTTTTTAAAATGACCAGCCGAATTAACCGACCAATTTTTGTCGGTTTTTTTAATATTAATTTTTATTTATTTTAATTGATAACCGGCCAAAGTTAGTCGGTATTTTGAAAAATAAATTTCGCGGGGACTCAAAAATAGTTTCCCGCATTTTTGCGCCAAAGAAAACTGACCAAAGTTGGTCGGTTTCGTAAAAAAAAATTAAAAAATAAAATATTTCGAAAAACCGACCAACTTTGGTCGGTTTTTTGACTGACCAACGACCTTGGTCGGTTTTTGCCGAATTTCTAGTAGCGTATTGTTTGCTAATATTAAATAATATTTTTATTTTTTTGGTTTGACTGTATCGTATTGTACTGTAACTAATAAGTTTACCAAAATTTTCTCAATTATTGTAAATATTAAATTTATATTTAAGAAAACCTATTTCTACTAACTTTATCGCTAATTATGTAGCATGGAAACAAGAGGAAAAGCCTCAAGAAAAAGGTTAACTATCATAGGCAAAAAGAAAAAAAATCATAAAACAATGGAAAGAGATAGATTCATTCATTTACTGCCTTATAACTAATGTGCAAGAAAAACCATAGGAGTACATGAAAAGGTGTTCAAAGAAACCAGCCAGAAATAGTGCTAAAGCTTTCGAACAATGACAGGGGCACCATACTGTGGTTGAAGAACCAAAGCGGTCATGGTCGGGCCATGAGCATAGGAGGGAGAGAGCTCAAACGAGTAATTCTGTAAGATTTTAGCCAAAACAAGTTTGACTTGAATCATAGCGAAATTCATTCCAAGGCATATACGAGAACCCCAACCAAAGGGAAAATACATCAAATCCTTGGCTGCTTTTGATACTCCTTCTGAGAACCTTTCTGGATTGAAAATAAGAGCATCTTCTCCCCATTGCTCTGTGTCGCGATGAATTATTTGCAAAGGCACCAAAAGCTGTGCGCCTGATGGAATTATATAGTCTCCAAGTTTTGTCTCTTCGTTTGTTTCTCTAACAAGAGAACCTGATGGATATAACCTCATAACTTCGTGCAAGATCATAGTCACCTACATATATAGTAGAATTAAATAAATCAGATACAGACAAACCTCTATCTAACAACATTCCCTATGTAACAGTCATTTACTATAAAAGCCAAGTTTTATTCGAAACCGAGTTTTATGTTATGATATAATATATGTCATCTATAACAGCATTTCATTGTAGCAGCCAAAAAGTATCGGAAGAAATGAAGTTGTTATAGAGAGGTTTAACCGTATGCTTTAGCATGGAGAGGAGCCTTGGAGCAATGGTAAATTTATCTCCATATGGCATTTAGGTCACGGGTTCGAGCCGTGTAAGTAGCCACTAATGCTTGCATTAGGGTAAATATCTACATTGGTGTGGCCATCATAAGTGGAGAATCTTACAATCTTCAGCTGGTTCAGTTGATCAAACTTAGGCTCATTTTTTCCAATGATTTCAAGAACTTCATTCCTAGCTTTTTCTTGCCAATCTGGGTGCATAGTCAAAACAATTGCAGTCCATGTTAACAAAGTTGCAGTAGTCTCTTGACCCGCAAAATAGAAAGAGTTGCACTCTTCTATTACATCTTCTGTACTCATTCCCTTGTTCGAGTTCTTATTCCCTTGGTGTTCATCTTGATTAGATTTCATTAACAAACCCAAGAGATCTTCATTGTGTGCTTTTCCTGATTGTACCTCTTTCTCTCGCTTCTCTATTATCCCGTTTAGCGAACTACGGACTGTGTTATAGATGTACAATCTTCTTCTATTAGTTTTTGTTGGCACGAACCTATTACATAAACAAGAGCAATTGTCAAGAACTTTATTAACTCGATATGAACAGTGTAAAAGCAATTGTCACCGTTAGTATGTCTTATTTTCAAGATTATATATTTCATTTCGAAGTACCTTAACCAAGGGAAGACATTAATAGCAAGTTTTGCAGTGAAAACAAGTTCACATTGTTCCCTCAGAAGCGAAAATATTAACTTCCCTTCTCCAAAGTTACTACCAAAGGCTGCTTTTGATAGCATGTCTCCAGTTAAACTATGAAATTCTTGTGAAATATCCAATTCACAAGAACCCTTTGATTCAGTTAACTTGTCCCATCTGCTTATCATTTCTTCTGTACATTGAGTAAATGCTCCCAACATTAGCTGCATTTGCAAGGCCAAAATGAAAATGAACCTCTGAACAAAAAATGAAATTACAGAAAAGTAAGGTAACTACTTAATTGAAAAATACCTTCAATTTTTCCAAGTGGAAAGCTGGATTAAGAATTTTTCTATGTTTCGCCCATTTTTCACCATCGTAAGTCCCCAATCCTGTTACAAATAGCTTGAGGAAAGCACTGATTTTTGGTTTTCTGAACTCACCCGATTTATTTGACAGTACTTCCCGTATTAGCTTTGGATCCATTATGGTCACTCGAGGTATCGGTCCTAGCCAAAACAAGAAAAGTTTCTCTGCAAAGGACGAAAAATTATATTATGTATATAAGTCAAATATCATTTTTTACATTCACTGAAATTCTTGATTTTGCTATTGTTCTGCGTTGCTAAAGAAAATCTTGGAACTTAGTACGAATACATACTGTAAGTGGTGGCGAGCTCATAGAACAGTGGATTTAGTCGAGGGGTGTAGTCGTGGTTCAAAGGCATGGGTTTGGACTTAGCTATTTTATTCATTTCCATCATCTCCTTTAGATTTCCATAAAGAAATCTATATGGACGGCCATATACTCCTTGTTTCCTCAGCTCTCTTTCCACTGTTTTGGGCCGCCACCATATCAAATACAGCAATTTCAGGCACCAAAAGGAGAATGAAAGGCATATTGGTAGAGCAATTAAAACTGCAATACTCATGCTTTTTGCCTCTTAAGTTTGTGGTAAACTTTAGTTCTTTGGTTCTTGTCTACAATATAAAGGGCAAGGTGTATCTAGTGAAAGGTTAGGACGGATTTCAAATCACTGACCCAAAATTTAACTAGTCGTGATGGCACCTAATCTAACCCGCAAGGTAAGCCAATTATCAATTATCCAATAACAATTATTAAAGCAATTTAAGT